AGATAAAGTTCACTTTCTTCAAAAACAATTATACAATCCTTTTGTTCACTGCTATTAAAAAAGCAGGAATTTTTTTCTCCTGATGATGGCCTTGCTGGCCGAAACTAGGCGTGAACCTAATTGAGACAATAAAACAAAAAATATTAATACACAACACAGTGTGTTTGACAATTTCAATTTTTTAATATTTTTTATTGTTCAAATCATATATATATATATATATTACTTCAAATGGTATTTCAGTAGATACGCGTGTTTGAAATAGACGCCATGTTTTAAACAGGGTGTATTATATTTATCGGACTGTGTACTCAAAAAATCTTAATAAAGAGGATGTAAATTATAAAAAATGCGATGTCTATTTCAAATATTTGAGTCACAAAATAATAACATTTGAATTAATAAAATGTCTGAGCAAAAAAATAAATCCATTAATCAGTTATATATATATATATATATATATATATATATATATATATATATATATATATATATATATATGGGGGTCTGTGTGTTTGTGTGTTCATATATAGAACGTTTGACGATTGTTTCACGATCTTACTGTGAAACTGACGCATGTTCTTATGACGTTTTTAATAAAATCTCAACATGCCACGTTATATGTGTGAGTGTGTGTGTGTGTATATATATATATATATGGGGGGTGTTTACATAGAGAGACACGGAGAGAGAAAATTGAAACATCAATGACCGGCCTAAGTTACCTTTATTGCCCGTTAAGAGAAAGCAGGCGCGCCTTCAGATCTCTCCACCCTGACTTGATAGCAGTCATCCACAAATCCAGTCAACAGATGATGGCCGACTGATGTTGACAGCCGTTTAGTGGACAGCTGGAAGATATTAAACATCAGCCTTTCGCTACTTGGTCCGGTCGGCAATACGAGTAGTTAAACCTACTCTTTGACCCTTTCAATTACTTCCTCAAGAAGCCCTTTATTAGCAGAGAAAGCTTAGAATTAGGTAGTTTTTGCTGTGCAGCATAAGACGCGAACTAGGAATTCTAGTATAAACTAGCTAGTATAGAACCCCCAAAGAGAACTGATGCCATCGTAATCCAACTGGTTCTAAAACTCACTAGAACAACCTCAACACGAACGCGTCTATTCGGTGCCACCTCGAAAGATGCAAGACAAATGCCAGTTCCTTGTATCGCTCTCCCAAAAAAAGCCTTACTCCTGCGGTCTTTGCACTATATTTTGAAGAGTTAGATCAGGCCAGGCAATCCTGGGTATGACGATAAACTAAATCCGCGTCCTGGGTATGACGATAAACTACATCTGCGTCCTGGGTATGACGATAAACTACATCCGCGTCCTAGGTATGACGATAAACTACATCCGCGTCCTTGGTATGACGATAAATTACATCTGTGTCCTGGGCAAGACGATAAACTACATCCGCGTCCTGGGCAAGACGATAAACTACATCTGCGTCCTGGGTAAGACGATAAACAACATCTGTGTCCTGGGTAAAGACGAATAAACAATCGATCTCCCAAAATGCCTGTCCTGCGGTCTTTGCAGGTTTTTGAAGAGATGCAAGACGAAAACCAAATTCCTGGGTAAGACGATAAACTACATGCGCGTCCTGGGTAACAATGAACTACATCCGCGTCCTGCGGTTCTGTGTCCTGGGTAAGACGATAAACTACATCCGCGTCCTGGGTATGACGATAAACTACATCCGCGTCTTTGCAATATTTTGAAGAGGCCTGGGTATGACGATAAACTACATCCGCGTCCTGGGTAAGACGATAAACTACATCCGCGTCCTGGGTAAGACGATAAACTACATCCGCGTCCTGGGTATGACGATAAACTACATCTGCGTCCAGGGTATGACGATAAACTACATCTGCGTCCTGGGTATGAAGATAAACTACATCCGCGTCCTGGGTATGATGATAAACTACATCCGCGTCCTAGGTATGACGATAAACTACATCCGCGTCCTACGTATGACGATAAATTACATCTGTGTCCTGGGTAAGACGGTAAACTACATCCGCGTCCTGGGCAAGACGATAAACTACATCCGCGTCCTGGGTATGACGATAAACTACATCTGTGTCCTAAGTAAAGATGCAAGACGAATGCCATTTCCTTGTATCGCTCTCCCCAAAAAAGCCTTACTCCTGCGGTCTTTGCACTATATTTTGAAGAGGCCGTCCTGGGTATGACGATAAACTAAATCCACGTCCTGGGTAAGACGATAAACTACATGCGCGTCCTGGGTATGACGATGAACTACATCCGCGTCCTGGGTAAGACGATAAACTACATCCGTGTCCTGGGTATGACGATAAACTACATCCGCGTCCTAGGTATGATGATAAACTACATCCGCGTCCTGGGTAAGACGATAAACTCCATCCGCGTCCTAGGTATGACGATAAACTACATCCGCGTCCTAGGTATGAAGATAAACTACATCCGCGTCCTGGGTATGACGATAAACTACATCTGTGTCCTAGGTATGACGATAAACTACATCTGTGTCCTGGGTAAGACGATAAACTACATCCGCGTCCTGGGTAAGACGATAAACTACATCCGCATCCTAGGTATGACGATAAACTACATCCGTGTCCTGGGTATGACGATAAACTACATCCGCGTCCTAGGTATGAAGATAAACTACATCCGCGTCCTGGGTATGACGATAAACTACATCTGTGCCTTGGGTAAGACGATGAACTACATCCGCGTCCTGGGTATGACGATAAACTACATCCGCGTCCTAGGTATGAAGATAAACTACATCCGCGTCCTGGGTATGACGATAAACTACATCTGTGCCTTGGGTAAGACGATGAACTACATCCGCGTCCTGGGTATGACGATAAACTACATCTGTGTCCTAGGTATGACGATAAACTACATCTGTGTCCTGGGTAAGACGATAAACTACATCCGCGTCCTGGGTATGACGATAAACTACATCCGCGTCCTGGGTAAGACGATAAACTACATCCGACAGCAAGGCCTCTGATCAGGAGGTTTTGAGAAGCGTGGAACCACCTCTTAATTGCTGGTGTTCCCAGGTCTACCCTGACCTGGGGTGGTAGCACTTACTAGGGTCCCGACTATGGGCAAATCTTTAACACTCAAACTGGGGTCAAACGTGTGAAAATAGATTTTAGTACCAGCAATAAATTTTTAAAGAAAAAATTATCACCAGTTATGCGTTATTACCAGCAATCCTTTTTTAGAAAAAAATATTACCAAATATAGTTTATGAAAAAAAAAATGTTACCAGCAATAAAAATCTTATCGGCATTAAATAACTGTTATAGTCCGGTTCCTTGTACCCCGGGTGATAGTCCACGGGTAGAACCAATAAAGAAGAACTCGAATACGAATATGGAATAACACAGATATATTACAAACAGGAATATATAGAGAGAAGTAGAAAGTGTTAGTACGAACAATCAGGTTTAGTAGTAATTGTCTGAACGCGACTCTCTTTCGGGATGCCTCTGATTCGACTGACTGACTCGCTCGCTCTGACTGACTGACAGACTTCTGACGGACTTCTGACGGACCTCACTCCAGACTTCAGACTGTACAGTATTTAGTCACACACACACACCCACGAGGGTATCATGTGGCACAAGGTTTGTTTAACGTGGGATCCCCGAGTCCGTGGGATCTCCGAGCCCGTGGGATCTCCGAGCCCGTGGGATCGGCCAAAAATATGCCCTTTGAAGCCGTATAAACGGGTTCAGGGTCGGTTTACCTCCCCGAAAGAGACTCCGCCCTTCGGCGTAACCTCGTTCGGGTTCCTCCCCGCCTGAAGTCAGAGAGTTCAACCGATCAGCCGGTCAGCCTGTCGCCCGACTTCGGACGGAACGATATTCAGTCACCCTCCACGAGGGCGTCATGTGGCACAAGGACTGAACTCTCTGCTTCCTCTTGAGGCGCAGTATTTATTACGTGTGGAATAGTCCATTATGTTATTATGGGTAAGGTCCTATAACAATAACCCATTAAGGTTGATAAACCGTAAAAAAGAAAAATCAGACCAGGAGTGATGTGTTCCTGACATATCTGGTCCTGTGCTTCCTAACTCTGACTGTCCAACCGCGATCCAGAATTGCTAAGACGGCCTTGAAAATGATGAAATATTTTCCATCCTGTAACCTTTATGTGACACTTCAAACGTTGCGAAACTTTAACTACAATGTCGCTATTACAAAGCCAGATATTAAATTCCTTAAGTTCATGCAGCTTGTAACAGTTAAGGCCGGTGCAGGGGAATCGTGCTTTCCACCAAATCTATGGTACTGGGTTCGCCTCTCTCCCACATACCAATTTTCATAAGCTACTATTCATATAAAATACAAATTTTATTGTAACCTATGTACAATAGTGGATCGATCATACGCAATATAGTTGAACAATTCGACTAGAAAAACTGAAAATAAATACAATGTACCTAAGTATAAATTAGAGACATGTCATAATAGACAGAATATACAACAAATGCGAATGTCAGTGTGTCACTGTGTCGCACTTTTTCAACTTTACTCCTAGAGGCCGAAGCTATATACAGGGTGATCCAAAAAAAACGGGAACTTTTTAACAATCCAAAAAAGCCAAGAGTGATGGAAGAAAAATATTTTATTCATAGTAATTGAAACCTTAAAACATGCCATTTAAGAAACAATGATTGAATTTTCATCTCAGCTGGGATACTGTGTTTACACAACTCGACCAAGAACTCTGGGTGAGTTAAAACAAAGAATTCAACATGAAATTCACAGTATCCTAGCTGAGATGTTGCAGCAGTCAGTGAGGAAAATCTCAACAGCAGATTTCAAGAATGCATTCGTACAGGAGGACGCCATCTACAGGACGTAATTTAAAAAAAATGAAAATTCCATCATTGTTTATTCCACAAATTATCGATTCTTTGAAAGAAGCTGGCTAAGTGGACCTTCCTTCATATCAATGGAATACAAAAGAAATGAGAGTGATTCAATCCCGTGGAGGTGAAAAATATGACAGATAGATAGATAGATAGATAGATAGATAGATAGATATGAACACACTGTGGTAGTGTTATATACTGTACCTATAAACACTAATGAGTATGTCCCAATCCTCATAAATATGTTAGACACTATTGTAAGTGGAGTTAATAGTAGTCTTAGTAGTTCGCCACTAGCAGTGGTTTACCTACTTCACGCCGCTGGCGAGTATTGTATTTTGTTGATGTTATAAAGATTACTACACTGGTTACTCCTCATTCAGTAACCCTTCCTAAATTACAACAGATAGATAGATAGATATGAACAGACTGATATAGATTTAAACAGACTTAGATAGATAGATAGATAGGTAGATAGATATGAACAGACTGATATAGATTTAAACAGACTTAGATAGATAGATAGATAGATATGAACAGACTGATATATATTTAAACAGACTTAGATAGATAGATAGATAGATAGATAGATAGATAGATAGATAGATATGAACAGTCTGATATAGATTTAAACAGACTTAGGGAGATAGATAGATAGATAGATAGATAGATAGATAGATAGATAGATAGATAGGATATAAACAGACTGATATAGATTTAAACAGACTTAGATAGATAGATAGATAGATAGATAGATA